TTTTTTGAGACAGTCTTGCTTCGTCGCCAGGCTGGAGTGCAGTGGCATGATCTCGGCTCACAGCAACCTCGTGACAGAGTTTTCACTGTTGGCCTGGAACTCCTGACTGCAATCGGTCTGCCTGTTTAAGCCTCCCAAAGTGCTAGGATTACAGGCATGAGCCACCACGCCCTGCCCAATATGTTTTGCCTTGTTTTGTTTTACAAAATTAAATATACTATCACCATAAAATTCAGCAGTTACAGTCCTTGGTATTTACCTGAAAGAGAGGATAACTATGTTCACGCAAAAATCTGCACATGTATCATTATAGCTGCATTATTCATAATTGGCAAAACTTAAGGACCAAGATGTCCTTCTGTTGGTGAATGAACTGTACTATATCCAAACGATGGAGTATTACTTGGCACCAAAAAGAAACGATCTTAGCAAGCCATGAAAAACCATGGAGGAAACTTAAATGCATATATATATATATATATATATATATATATTTGTTTGTTTGTTTTGTTTTTTGAAGATGGTGTTTCCCTCTTGTGGCCCAGACTAGAGTGCAATGGCGCGATCTCTGCTCACAGCAACCTCTGCCTCCTGGGTTCAAGTGATTCTCCTGCCTCAGCTTCCCGAGTACCTGGGATTACAGGCATGTGCTACCACACCCAGCTAATTTTGTATTCCTTGTAGAGATGGATTTTCTCCATGTTGGTCAGGCTGGTCTCGAACTCCCAACCTTAGGTTATCCTCCCTCCTCTGCCTTCCAAAGTGCTGGGATTACGGGCGTGAGCACCACACCGGGCCTTAAATGCATATTACCAAGTGAAACAAAACTATCTGGGCCGGGCGTGATGGCTCACGCCTGTAATCCCAGCACTTTGGGAGGCCGAGGCAGGTGGATCACTTAAGGTCAGGAGTTCAAGAGCAGCCTGGCCAACATGGTAAAACCCAATCTTTACTGAAAATGCAAAATATTAGCTGGGTGTGGTGGTGCACACCTGTAATCCCAGCTACTCAAGAGGCTGAGGTAGGAGAATGGCTTGAACCTGGGAGGCAGAGGTTTCAGTGAGTTGGGATGGAGCTACTGCACTCCAGCAGTAGTAGCTGCACTCCAGCTCTTTGCGACAGAGCAAGACTCTGTCTAAAAAACAAACAAACAAACAAACCCACTAATCTGAAAAGGACACTACGTTATTCCAACTAAATGACATTCTGAAAAAGGCAAGACTATGAAGACAGTAATAAAATTAGTGGTCGCTAGGGCATAGGAGAAAAGGAAGGATGAATAGGTGCAGCACAGAGAATTTTTAGGGAAGTGAAACTACTCTGTATGATACTGTAATGGTGGCCATATGTCCTGATTCATTTCTTTAAGCCCACAAAATCTACAACACGGTCCCCAACCCCGGAGCTGTGAACCAGTACTAGTCAGTGACCTGTTGGGAACCAGCCTACAGTGCAGCATTCCCACCTGAGCTCCACCTCCTGACAGATCAGGGGTGGGATTAGATTCTGATAGGAGTGAGGACCCTATTGTGAACTGCACATGTGAGGGATCCAGGTTGCAATGCTCCTTATGAGAATCTAATGCCTGATGATCTGAAGTGCAACGGTTCACCCTGGAACCATTTCTACCCCCTAGTCTGAGGAAAAAATGCTTTTCATGAAACCAGTCCCTGGTATCAAAAAGGTTGGGGACTGCTGATCTGTAACAGCAAGGGTGGGCCTTAATGTAAACTACAGACTTTGGGTGATAATGTGTCAATGTAGGGTCATCAGTTATAACAAATATACCACTTTGGTGGGGGAGAGGCTATGCACGTGTCAAGTCGGAGGTATATGAGAAATCTCTATACCTTCCTCTCAATTTTGCTGTAAGCTAAAACTGCTTTAAAAAAGTAAAGTCTTTAAAAAAAATTCCTGAGAGGCCAGGCACGGTGGCTCTCGTTTGTAATCCCAGCACTTTGGGAGGCCTAGGCAGGCGCATCACAAGGTCAAGAGATCAAGACCATCCTGGCCAACATGGTGAAACCTCATCTCTGCTTAAAATACAAAAATTAGCTGTGCGTAGGGGTGGGCACCTGTAGTCCCAGCTACTCCGGAGGCTGAGACAGGAGAATCGCTTGAACTTGGGAGGCGGAGGTTGCTGTGAGCCGAGATCACACCACTGCACTCCAGCCTGACGACAGAGAGGAAAAAAAAAATCTGAGAGTGCAGCCCAACTCTTCATAAATACATATAGAGGAAAGATTTTTCACATTTCTTTTGCCGTTAGCCAAACTTTACTCTTTTTGCATTTCAGCCAAAACTGCCTAAGACAAGGTACAAGTGAAACGCATTTTTAGTTTTCTGTTTTCCAAAATGGGCAACTCTTTATTTTTTGGTTAAAATAACACAGAAGTGTTCAAAACCTCTTCCCAGTACCAACTTCCTCTAGTAAACATTTAACTGTTGAGGCCAGGCGCAGTGACTCACGCCTGTAATCCCAGCAGTTTGGGAAGTCGATGTGGGTGGATCACGAGGTCAGGAGTTCAAGACCAGCCTGGCCAACATGGTGAAACCCTGTCTCTACTAAAAATAGAAAAATTAGCCAGGCATGGTGGCAGGTACATATAGTCCCAGCTACTCAGGAGGCTGAGGCAAGAGAATCACTTGAACCTAAGAGGCGTAGGTTGCAGTGAGCCGAGACCTTACCACTACACTTCAGCCTGGGTGACAGAGTGAGACTCTCAAACAAAACAAAACAAAACAAAATATTTAACAGCTGAATGTTCTCCTCGAGTAAAAAATTCCATTCTAACGTGTCTATTATGTATAACATAGAGTATCCTGCTTTTAACTCCACCCCACCCTATAGTTTGCTAAGTGCCTATCACACACACCTTCTCTCTTCTTTCATCATTATTATTGCCTACTATGCTGTCCACTCTGATGCCTTTCTCTGTGTCCCAGATAGTAGTTCACTGTTTTCTGTGCTCCCTCAGTCATTGCAAACATTTCTGTTGTCAAAACTATACATTTAATCTTAAATTATTTATTTCCCTGTATATTTCCTTTATCAGAAAGTGGATTTTTCAGAAGCCAAAATTTGGGTTTAGGACAATCTTTTTTCTCCTTTAATTTCATTTTTAATTGTTTTTTTTTTTTTTTTGAGACGGAGTTTCACTCTTGTTACCCAGGCTGGAGTGCAATGGCGCGATCTCGGCTCACCGCAGCCTCCGCCTCCTGGGTTCAGGCAATTCTCCTGCCTCAGCCTCCTGAGTAGCTGGGATTACAGGCACGCGCCACCATGCCCAGCTAATGTTTTGTATTTTTAGTAGAGACGGGGTTTCACCATGTTGACCAGGATGGTCTCGATCTCTTGACCTCATGATCCACCCGCCTCAGCCTCCCAAAGTGCTGGGATTACAGGCTTGAGCCACCACGCCTGGCCCATTTTTAATTGTTATCAGAGTATACACTTTTGTTACCAGAGTCATTGTTGTAATTTAGAGGCAAAAGATTCTGTGGAAACTTTGTAAGGTTTGCAGTGAAGCAGCAGGGACTGTATTCCCACTTCAGCCGTCACCTGTTTCCGCCTTCTCAAAGGCAGTCATATTTCACCTCTTTTTTTTCCTTTCGATGGAGTCTTGCTCTGTGACCAGGCTGGAGTGCAACGGCTTGATCTTGGCTTACTGCAACCTCTGACTCCCAGCTTCAAGCTATTCGCCTGTTTCAGCCTCTCAGTTAGCTGGGACTACAGGCGCATGCCACCATCCTCAGCTAATTTTTGATTTTTAGTAGAGATGGGATTTTGCAATGTTAGCCAGACTGGTCTCAAACTCTGGACCTTACGTGATCCACCCACCTCAGCCTCCCAAAGTGCTAGGATTACAGGTGCGAGCCACCGTGACTGGCCCATTTCACCTCTTTTAACTCATTATTTTGATATTTATCTTAATATCTCCATACGATGTGTTCATATTATTTCTTGATTTTTCACTTTTAGGCATTATTTACTGAATTCACTTAATGAAAAATGAAGATTTTGCTCTCTTTCCTTCCCCTTTCTCCACCAAACTTTCCATCCTTTCGTCTGCCCAGCAGAGTTATATTGTACTTTTTTGTGGATTTATGTTTACTTCATTATGACTAGGTAAATATTATTCACATTTTAGGCAAGTAAGAAACTATGATTACTTCTCTTCTGTACGGCTTTTGTTTTTCCTATTCATCACTAGGTCAAGCCCCGCCAATGATTGTGTAAGTCTCCCCCTTCCAGAGGTTTAGATGAGGTGTTCTATTAGTTTCATCGGTCTCTTCTGGACCCTCCTGGCCTGCGCTAGTCTATGCCTGTTCCACAGTTGTTGCCAGGGCGTCTCTATTGCTGTGTTGAATCTGTTTCCTATAGCCTATGTCTTCTTTATTCTTGGTTTACTCTCTTATTTTAGTGGAGTACAACCTTCAGTAACTTCCTGAGAAAAGAGAAGTAAATGAAAGCTAATTTTTTTTCAGATCTTGAATATGTTTTTATTCTTGACTACAAGTATTAAAAATTTTTTTTATTCTAACCTCACATTTGATTCATAGTTTACTAATTAAGTACAGAATTCTACGCACGTGTGAGTTCGGGGGGTATATGGGAAATCTCTACACCTTCCTCTCAATTTTGCTGTAACCTAAAATGCTCTAAAAAAGTAAAGTATAGTTTTTGGCCAGGTGTGGTGGCTCATGCTTGTAATCCCAGCAATTTGGGAGGCTGAGGTGGGCAGATAACTTGAGGTTGGGAGTTCGAGACCAGCCTAGCCAAAATGGTGAAAACCCTTCTCTACTAAAAATGCAAAACTTAGCCAGGTGTGGTGGTGCACGCCTGTAGTCCCAGATACTTGGGAGGCTGAGACAGGATAATCACTTGAACCTGGGAGGCAGAGGTTGCAGTGAGCTGATATCTCGACAATACACTCCAGCCTGGGTGACAAGAGTGTGACTCTTGTCTCAAATAAATAAACAAATAAATAAATAATAAAAGGAGCACTCACTTGTGAAAATGGGAAGGGTGAAAATAAATAAATAAATAAAAAGAGTATTCAGAGGACAAAAAATATGACAACAGAAATTAAAAGTCTCCTGGGTTCAAGCAAGTCTTGTGCCTCAGCCTCCCAAGCAGTTAGGATTACAGGCGCACGTGCCACCATGCCCAGCTAATTTTTTGTATTTTTAGTAGAAATGGGATTTCACCATGTTGGCCAGGCTGGTCTGGAACTCCTGATCTCAAGTGATCCACCTGCCTTAGCCTCCCAAAGTGCTGGGATTACAGGTGTGAGCCACTGTGCCCGGCCTATCTTCCCACTCTTGAACTTTTAATTTCTGCTGTTATGTTTTTTCATCTCTGAATGCTCTTTTTATTTTATTTATTTATTTTTACCACCCCCATTTTCACTAGTGAGTGCTCTTTTTATTATCTATTTATTCATTCATTCTTGAGACAGGGTTTCACTCTGTTGCCCAGGCTGGAGTGCAATCTTGGCTCACTGCAACCTCTGCCTCTCGGGTTCAAGCAATTCTCCTACCTAAGCCTCCCGAGTAGCTGGGATTATGGGCGCCTGTCACCACACCTGGCTAAATATTGTATTTTTAGTAGAGACGGGTTTTACCATGTTGGTCAGGCTGGCCTCGAACTCCTGACCTCAGGCAATTTGTTCTGCCTCAGCCTCTGAAAGTGCTGGGATTGCAGGCGTGAGCCACTGTGCCAGGCCAATGCTCCTTTTAAATAGTATCCTTTTCTCTCATATGTGGGAGCCAAACATTGAACAAGTTGAATTCATGGAGACAGGGAGTAGAATGATTGTTACCAAAGGCTGAAAGGGTAGGGTGGAGGAAGGCATAGAGTGGGGATGATTAATGAGTCCAAATATACAATTAGGTGCCAGGTGCCATGGCTCATGCCTGTAATCCTAGCACTTTGGGAGGCCAAAGCAGGAGAATCGTTTGAGCCCAGGAGTTGGAGTCCAGCTTGGGCAACATAGCGACTTGCTGTCTCAACAAAAAAAAGTTAGCCAGGCATGGTGGTGCCAGTGTGTAGTCTTAGCTACCCAGGAGGCTGAGGTGGGAGAATCCCTTGAGTCCAGGAGTTTAAGGTTACAGTGAGTTATGATTGCACCACTGCACTCCAGCCTGAGCAACAGAGTGAGAACTTATCTCAGAAAACAAATAAAAAACCAAAACCAAAACAAACAACAACAAAGAAAAAAAAAGGGTGACAACAGTTAACAATAATTTATTGCCTATTTTAAAATAAATGGTGGACTTGGACTGTTCCTAACACAAAGAAATAAGTACTCAAGGTGATGGCTACCCCAGTTATTCTGATTTGACAATTACACATTGTATACCTGTATCAAAACATCATATGTGGGTGGAGTGCCATCGCTCACTCCTGTAATCCCAGCACTTTGAGAGGCCAAGGTAGGCAAATCATGAGGTCGGGAGTTCAAGACCAGCCTGGCCAACATGGTGAAACCCCTTTCTACTAAAAATACAAAACAACAAAAAAAATTAGCTGGGCGTGGTGGTGCTCGCCTGTAAACCCAGCTACTCAGGAGGCTGAGGCTGGAGAATCGCTTGAACCTGGGAGGCAGAGGTTGCAATGAGTGGGGATTGCGCCACTGCACTCCAGCCTGGGCGACAGTGTGAGACTCCATCTCAAAAAACTAATACAAAACAAAACAAAAAACATCACACGTACACTATAAATATGTACGATTATGTGCCCATAATAAGTAATATAAAAATAGTATCCTTTTCTTGTTTTATGCTTGCAATGGTAATTTGTAGCTCAGGGTATCGATTATATATCTCAGTGCAAACATATTTGACTTTTCTTCTCACCGTATGGTTTCTGTTTCCTCTGGGGGTTGCTTTCTTCCCCCTTGTTTGTTTTAGTCTTTATGGTACTACCTTTCGTGTTTGTTTATGAGGCTGTCAAGTTCACAGGTCCCCTATCCACCCCTTGCTGCTAGGTAACTGCCTGGTAAAAGACAGGGTTTTGGGCAGAATATATGTTAGATGCTCTGTTCTCTTTATTCAGCTCCCAGAACGCTTATAGCCACCACTACACCCTCTACGCAGGAAATTAGCAGCCACCTCTAGAGACTCTAACCAACCTTAAAAGAAAGATCTAAAGACACTGACATTCATTGGAAACCCCCAGCTAAAAATTCGAACCAAATAACCCTGCACCGAAGCTCCTGGTCAACAGGCCCCCTACACTCTCAGAACACCTGGATATCGTCTAAAATAGAAATTTAAACGATTCATATTGAATTTAAGGCGTAGAGAGGCCGGGCGCGGTGGCTCACGCCTGTAATCGCAGCACCTTGGGAGGCTGAGGCAGGCAGATCACTTAAGTCAGGAGTTTAAGATCAGCCTGACGAACATGGTGAAACCCCGCCTCTAAAAAAAAAAAAAAAAAAAAAAAAAAAAAAAAAAAAAAAAAAAAAAAAAAGGGTAGAGAGAGAGGTATCTTAAAGTCCCATCATTAAGAGCGTCAATAAAGTGACTTTTACCGCGGTTGGGAGGGATCGAATCCCTTCTCTGGAGCGATCGAATCCCTTCTCTGGAGCGCCTTGGGGGCGGGTGCTCGCTTCCTGAGCTGCCGTTCCGACCTCCGGCCAGGAGGGGGAGGGACAGCGTACGGCCGGCGGCTGGGCTGAGAGCCAGAAACCAGAGGCCTCTCTGGGCTGAGAGGAAGAAACCAGGGAGACGTCAAGAGGAAGTCGCGGTGGCGCTGAGTCCTCCGTCCTCCGAGGCTGAGCTGGTCAGTGTGTTGCTGGGCTTAGCGGACTCCACGGGCCACGCTGGCTGCGAATGGAGCCGAGGACTCGCACGGAGGCGAGATGCTACCAGCCGGCGAGATTGGCGCCTCTCCTGCAGTCCCGGTGAGACGGTCCTGGCGTCACTGGGAAAGGACATTGGTGGCCCATTAGGGTGGCACAGACCTCCCGGGGGGGAGACAGTCCCGGTGAGGTGGCCCTGTAAGCTTGTTAGGTTGGGCGGCTTGGGTTAGAGGCCCTTGCAAGACCTCCTAGAAGAGGTGGTAGTTCCAGTGAGGTGACTTTGGCGGCCCAGGTGAGATGACAGATCTCGAGAGAGGCCCTAGTGGGCAGGCAAGGTAACTCCAGGTGCTGCAGAGGTAACACCTCCTGGGAAGGTGGCAGCGGTGGCACCAGGAAGGTGGCACTTTGGGGCACCTGATGTAGACGGCCCTGGCCACTCAGAAATGGGGAGAGCGTCTGGAATCTCTCTGGCCCCCAGTGGGTGCTCTTTGGGAGCCCGGTATGAGTTTCAGCGACTTTAACCTTAATATGCTTGTCACACCTGTTCTCTTCTAGTGCTGCTCTGAAAGTGGTGATGAAGGGAAGAACCTCGAGGAGAAAAGTAAGCCAGCTGCAAACACCTTAGCTCTTTCTTCCCAGCTGTCCCGCCCGATCTCTGCCTTACAAGGGTCTGCAACCGAGAGTAATTGGGGCCTGCCTGTGATTTTAATGAAACATCAACTTTTATTAAGCGTCAGGAATTTGGAGGGGCTAATGATCTAGGACAGGTGACCACCACACTAATTAGGTTCAAAGGAGGCAAATGCTAGTTGTTTAGTTCATCTTCAGTAAATTGGCAATTTAAAATTGCTCTGGGAAGAGCACAACGGATAACTTGCATTCTGGATCTTGGACTGGACAGGAAAGGCAGGGGAAAGGTCAGTCCCGCCCTTTCCTCCCTAAGACGGGAGTATATGTCAGGGATGTGGACTTTCGCCATTTTACTTTAATGGCAGTTTATTGCAAATCAAGGACTCTTTAGGGAGTTCTGAAGTGACGTTTTCTGGGAGAGGAAGGGGAAAAGCATGTGATAACTCTACTCTCAGAGGATTTTTTATTCTTTTGCTATGGCAAACAGTTGGGAATGAGTAGCAGTAAGAGAAAGGGTGCTCACATGACCACATGGCCCTTAGGAGTAAGACTTGCCCTTAACTTGGGCGGCTGATAGAATCTGCCTCAGAAAGAAGGCTCTAAGCAGTCCATAGCACATGACCGTCAAAGCTGCCACATCTCAGCTCCTTTTTCTTGAAAGATTTGAGAGTGCCCTGTATCTTTGAGTTAAACCCTTCCCTTTCCACTTTTCACCTTTGCCTCTCTTAGATGCCTAGAAAGTAGTCTGATGCCTACTGAGCTGTCATTTTAATAAAATAATAGATGTAGACTGTCATATTAAGGACTTCGTCCTTGTTCCTCTTTCTGTGGCTCAAACTGCTTTGCAATTAGGAGTGCTGTTTACAAGAAATAGAAAAGGAGACACGTAAAAACCTCCCATATCACTGGTGTGTCATTTAGAAGAATGTCATTTTACCAAGAATGCCACATTTGAATAGTTACATGTCAAGTAATTTTTTTTTTTGAGACCCAGTCTCACTCTGTCTCCCAACTAGTGGTTGCATTAGTCATTTTGATTTTTTCCTACTGTTTTCTCATACTTTTTCTTTTTTCTGCACTGCACTGAAGTGCAGTAGCAAGATCTTAGCTTACTGCAGTCTCCACCTCCGGGTTCAAGTGATTCTTCTGCCACAGTCTCCCGAGTAGCTGGGATTACAGGCATGTACCACCACGCCTGGCCAATTTTTGTATTTTTAGTAGAGGCAGGGTTTCACCATGTTGGCTAGGCTGGTCTCAAACTCCTGACCTCAGTTGATCTGCTCTCCTTGGCCTCCCAAAGTGCTTAGATTATAGACATGAGCCACCATGTCCAGTGGGTGTAATTTTTTTTGAAAAAGTGAAGGTAGAATTTCCTCCCTAAGGTACAGCAACTTTAGCATTCACAAAACATTTCTTGCCTCCATTTGTCTGCAAATACACCCACAATTCAACTTGTTTTATTTAAGATTAAAAAAAGGCATCGTGAATTCTGTACATAGTAGTAGATTATTATACATTAAATGTGTAAGTCCCATGTGTATTGGACTTATTAAATGTCACCAAACAGGTAGTTTATTTGCCATGGAAAGAATTTCACTGTAGACTATACTATTCAGTGGTTGCATTAGTCATTTTTACTTTTTCCTAGTAATTTGTTCTCTTATTTTTTTTTTCCTGTTTCTGACAAAGGTATCTTTGTACAATAACATTGAAACTTAAAAACCTTTTTACTTTTTTTTTTTTTTTTTTTTTTGAGACGGAGTTTCGCTCTTGTTACCCAGGCTGGAGTGCAATGGCACGATCTCGGCTCACCGCAACCTCCGCCTCCTGGGTTCAGGCAATTCTCCTGCCTCAGCCTCCTGAGTAGCTGGGATTACAGGCACGTGCCACCATGCCCAGCTCATTTTTTGTATTTTTGGTAGAGATGGGGTTTCACCATGTTGACCAGGATGGTCTCGATCTCTTGACCTCGTGATCCACCCGCCTCGGCCTCCCAAAGTGCTGGGATTACAGGCTTGAGCCACCGCGCCCGGCACCTTTTTACTTTTTTAAAAAAATTTTTTAAAGCGATGAGGTCTCGCTCTGTTGTCCAGGCTGGAGTATAGTGGTGCATCATGGCTCACTGCAGCCTCAATCTCCCAGGCTGCTCAAGCAGTCCTCCCATCTCATCTTTCCAAGTAGCTGAGACTTCAGGTTCACGCCACCATGCCTGGCTAATTTTGTTACGTGACGTCTTGCTATGTTGCCCAAGCTGCTCTACAAGCTCGAATGATCCTCCTGCCTTGCCTTCCTTGCTGGGATTATGGGCATGAGCTGCTGTGCCTGGCCTTTTTTTTTTTTTAATTTTTTTTAATTTTAAAACAAGAGTTTTCCTTTGGTGTTGCTCTAGACTATACCACTGGTTCCTTATACATTTTGAAAAGGTATTATGCCTTGTCTATTGAAACTTTTGGTTACTGGGTCACACTTTAGGAATTTTTCCTTTAGTCATACTTTCCTCAGCTCTTAAGCATTTGCAGTAGTTGGTGGAGTGCTTTAGAGCTATTCATCTGGTAATGTGTGTGTGTGTGTGTTATTCTTTAAATTATTAATTTTTTTTTTGATTTGGTTTTGTTTTTTTGAGACAGAGTCCCCCCATTGCCCAGGCTGGAGTGCAGTGGCATGATCTGGGCCCATTGCCAACTCTTCCTCTTGGGTTCAAGGGATTCTCTGCCTTGGCCTCCCAAAAAGCTGGGACTACAGGCATGTGCTCCCATGCCTAGCTAATTTTGTATTTTTGCTAGAGATGGGGATTTACGATGTTTGCCAGGCCAGTCTCGAACTCCTGGCATCAGGTGATGCACCTGCCTCAGCTTCCCAAAGTGCTGGGATCATAGGTGTGAGCCACCTTGCCTTTCAAAATTATTAACTTTTGAAGGTAGATACACTGCTTTTACATCTTTTATGTTGTCTTTAACTCTGTAGTACTTAGTGGTGTTAAGTAATTATTTTTCATTTGTTTTAGGTGACATAAATGTTGCAGTTCTTACTGGAAATAAACAAGTCAGTGAAGGTACAGATAATGGTGATCTCGCTTCTTATGTGTCTGCGTTCATAGAAAAGGAAGTTGGAAATGACCTTAAATCTTTAAAGAAACTTGATAAACTCATAGAACAGATGACAGAAAGTAAAATGCAGTTAGAAGAACAGGTAAGTATCGAACCTCACTGATATAATATCAATGATATAATGTAAACATGATTATGTATGGAATTATAAAGATACAGAATGTGACAGATAGTCTAGTTATTGTAAACTGTTTTTTTTTTTGTTTGTTTGTTTTTGTTTTTTTTTTTTTTTGAGATGGAGTTTCACTCATGTTACCCAGGCTGGAGTGCAATGGCGCGATCTCGGCTCACCGCAACCTCCGCCTCCTGGGTTCAGGCAATTCTCCTGCCTCAGCCTCCTGAGTAGCTGGGATTACAGGCACACACCACCATGCCCAGCTAATTTTTTAGTAGAGACGGGGTTTCACCATGTTGACCAGGATGGTCTCGATCTCTTGACCTCGTGATCCATCCGCCTCGGCCTCCCAAAGTGCTGGGATTACAGGCTTGAGCCACCGTGCCCGGCCAATTGTAAACTGTTTAAGAGGATTTCAGGACCTACAGTGTACTACCTATTTTACAAATTTTGTAAAAGACAAAGTTCCTACTGATATGATTTGTCTTGAAAACATATTGAGACCTAACATTTTATATAGCTTTTCATACAGTGACTTCTTTTTTTCTTTCAATCTGTTTTTAGTGAACATACAGTGACTTTTAAATTGCTTTTACAAGCAAATAATTTCATGGGATGTAAAAATATATTCCATGGTTTAAACACCATTTTTATTTTTTTTGAGACAGAGTCTCGCTCTTGTTGCCCAGGCAGGAGTGCAATGGCACGATCTTGGCTCACTGCAACCTCCACCTCCTAGGTTTAAGTGATTCTCCTGCCTTACCCTCCCAAGTAGCTAGGATTACAGGCATGTGTCATCCCTTCTGCTGGCTAATTTTGTATTTTAGGTAGAGATGGGGTTTCACCTTGTTGGCAAGACTGATCTTGAACTCCGGACATCAGGTGATCCACCCACCTTGGCCTCCCAAAGTTCTGGGATTACAGATTTGAGCCACCATACCCAGTCACATTTCAAATTTTAATAAATGCACACATATGGAGGAAACGTGAAAAAAAATATAACCTAATGGTTATTTCTGGGTGGGTGGTTGACAAGCGATGTATTTAAAAAATATTTTTAGGCTGAGCGTGCTGACTCATGCCTGTAATCCCAGCACTTTCGGAGGCTGAGGCGGGTGGATCACCTTAGGTCAGGAGTTGGAGACCAGACTGACCAAAATGGTGAAACCCCATCTCTACTAAAAATACAACAACAAAAAATTAGCCAGTTGTGGTGGCGGGCACCTGTAATTCCAGCTACTCGGGAGGCTGAAGCAGGAGAAGCACTTGAACCCAGGAGGCAGAAGTTGCCATGAGCTGTGATTGTGCCATCGCACTCCAGCCTGGGCAACAAAAGGGAAACTCCATCTCAAAAATAGGTATTTTTATGCATTTGTAGGTTTTTTCCATTTACAATGAACATATTACTTAAATAATTTTTTAAAAATCCAGTGAGTATAAGCTTAAAACAAAATAAGTAGGCCCCTGTACTTGGAATGGTGTGTTTGTCAAAGATGAAAGATTTTAGTCATATAGCTACTAAATTAGGTTAAGTAAATTCTTTGTGGATTATTTCCAGCTTTTTGGTCATCTTAGGTTCTCCCATTACCTCAGGCCGCCACAGCTTCCTGTCTTCCCACCACACCTACTGCTGGTCTCCAAGTTTAGCTTATCTTTGTCTGCCTTTTCCACTCCTGCTGGCAGTTTGTTGTGGGCCCAGTTGGAGGAAGTCACAGCTGAGGAGTGTAGTCTGCCACTCTGGCTGAATCTTCAGCCCCACCAGCAGTCCTGCCATGGGAAGGTCCGCTCCTCTGTACTCCCCTTAGCTGTTCTTCTAAAGTCTCTCTGAGACATCTACTCGACCTGTCCCTTCTGCCCTTTCCTTTTCCCAAGCGGAAAAAATAGAGACCTAGCGTGAGTTTAGTAGCATTGAATTTGGTTTGTTGAATAGTCTATTCCACAGTCCACAAACTTACGTGCAATCTTTTCTTTTTTTTTCTTTTGAGATAGAGTCTCGCCCTGTCACCTAGGTTGGAGTGTAGTGTCGAGATCTTGGCTCACTGCAACCTCCACCTCTCTGGTTCAAGCGATTCTCCTGCCTCAGCCTCTTGAGTAGCTGGGGTTATAGACACCCGCCACCACACTCGGCTATTTTTTGTATTTTTTAGTAGAGACAGGGTTTCACCATCTTGGCCAGGCTGGTGTTGAACTCCTGACCTCGTTATCCACCTACCTTGGCCTCCCAAAGTGCCGGGATTACAGGTGTGAGCCACTGTGCCCGACCTGTGCAATCATTTTTACCTCTTCATTTAGCAGAGGATCAGTCTAAGGCAGACCTTATACCCCAGGTTCTACCTGCCACCTCAGTGAATTTGCATCACTTTTATAATTTTACCCTGTGTTCCTCAAGCAGTCCTATCCCTTCAGCATATGGACCTAGACAGGTCTTTTCCGTGAAACCTAAACAAACAAAAACCCTCTTCTTTTAGCAGGTATTAGTTCTTTCCTTTGATTGTCAGGCTTCAGAAATAACCTTTGTTATCTATCACTGCTTTCTAATTTGCTGTTCATCTTTGACCCACTATAATTAGGCTTGTTTCCCTAGTGACCACAGAAAATTTGGCTGAAGTTCTTTATTGAACCTTAAATTCAGCATGTCCAAAACTCTACTGATCCATTTTTTAGAGGCTTGTCTGCCTTGCTTAGATAATGGCATCACAACCTGCCTGTCACTCAGACCTGAAGCCTGAGAGTCCTGGATTCCTTGTCATCATCCTCTGTCCCTATCACCAAGTCATCTGGAGTTCTGCCTGAACATCTCTGGTGTCCATCCCTTCTTTCCCACTCTTTTTTTTTTTTTTGGAGATGGAGTTTCACTCTTGTTGCCCAGGCTAGAGTACAATGGTATGATCTTGGCTCACTGCAATCTCCGCCTCCTGGGTTCAAGTGATTCTCCTGCCTCAGCCGCCTGCGTAGCTGGGACTGCAGGTATGCACCACCATGCCCGGCTAATTTTTGTAATTTTAGTAGAGATGTAGTTTAACCATATTGGCTAGGCTGGTCTCAAACTCTTGACTTTTGAGTAGCTGGGATTACAGGCTACTGTAAATTATGCCACCATGCCCAGCTAATTTTTTGCATTTTTACTAGAGACAAGGTTTCTCCATATTGGTCAGGCTGGTCTCGAATCCCTGATCTCAGGTGATCTGCCCACCTCGACCTCCCAAAGTGTTGGGGTTATAGGCATGAGCCAACATGCCTGGCCTCATTTTTCCCACTCTTGGTGACACCATCTTAGTTTAGGTAGATTGGGAGCTTTATAGTAATGCAGAATCTCAGTCTTACTTCAGACTTACCATGTCTGAATCTGTATTATAACAAGTTCTCTAGGTGATTAATATGCATATTCATTAAATATGGCCTCTATATTTTATTGCATTAATCCCATTGTTGAAATTATTTGCCTACAACTCTCTTGCATACCAAAGTGACCTTAAGGACAGGGGCTGTATCTTGTTTATCTGAATATTTCTTTTTTTTTTTTTTTTTTTGAGACGGAGTTTCACTCATGTTACCCAGGCTGGAATGCAATGGCGCGATCTCGGCTCACCGCAACCTCCGCCTCCT